TCAAGAGGCACCGTCCGTTCTCCAAGCACTAGGATAAAGGCGGAGCCGCTTCCCCCGTAAGGATTTGGGTGGTTTGTGCAATCTCACCATTTGTCCCAAGACGAGCTTTAGCTGGGTCGGCAGACCCTCCAACTTAAACCAGTCCGAACTTTTTTTTCATGTTTTACTACACATTACATGTGGTTTGTTTTATTAACCTGTTTCTCCACTTCATCCCACTCTGGTTCCGTTAGCTACACTATATATCACCTACTGTGTTGTCCTCTCCCCCATTACCTCCTCATCTGTGCTTGTTCTCTTAGAGATTTCACTATTGGAATGATATGGATTTCTGCATAAATTGGTCATAAAATGTGATCTGATCATCATCTAAGTCACAACAATAGACAATCACAGTCTGCTTAAACTAATAACACACAAAGAATGAAATGTTGCCATGTTTTTATTGAACACACCATGTAAACATTCACAGTGCAGGTGGAAAAGTATGTGAACCCCTAGACTAATGACATCTCCAAGAGCTAATTGGAGTGAGATGTCAGCCAACTGGAGTCCAATCAATGAGATGAGATTGGAGGTGTTGGTTACAGCTGCCCTGCCCTATAAAAAAAACACACCAGTTCTGGGTTTGCTTTTCACAAGAAGCATTGCCTGATGTGAATGATGCCTCGCACAAAAGGGCTAGAGTTCACTCTCACCACTAGGACCACCAGGGAGGGCATCATGGCACCTCCACATGGCAACAAGGCTCCCCCCCCCATGGCAACACGGCTCCCCCCTCCCAGGCTAAAGGTAAGAAGGGATATAACTTTTTTTTTTTTAAATTATGAAAAAATATATTTTAATTTAAATAAAAAATAAATTCACACACACAGCACCCCCAGACACACACAGCACCTCCAGACACACAGCACTCAGACACACACAGCACCCCCAGACAAACACAGCACCCAAACACACACAGCACCCAGACACACACAGCGTACCCAGACACACACAGCGCACCCAGACACACACAGCACCCTCAGACACACAGCGCATCCTCAGACACACACAGCGCATCCTCAGACACACACAGCGAAACCTCAGACACACACAGAGCACTCTCAGACACATAGCACCCTCGCTCACACACACAGCACACTCCCACATATATATATATATATATATATATAATAACCCTCAGTGAGTTAACAAAGAAAATTAGAAACCTAGAATGTGACGGCAGATAAAAACACCCTCACACACAGCACCCCTCTAACATACACACACACTGCGCCCCTCACACATACAATACGTCCATATATATATATATATATATATATATATTTATACACACACACACACTACAGCACCCCTCACACTGCACCACTACACACATTACGCTCCAGATACACGCTAGATCCCTTACCCTATATGCACTCTTAATCCTCTATACACACACACACACACACACAATCTCCTATACACACTCTGGGTCCTTTACACACTAGATCTCCTACACACACACTGCACCACCTACACACACACTACATTCCTTGTCAGCAAACACATACAACATTCTCTAAACACACCCTCTCTACAACCCCTACACACACTACGTCACCTATACACAGAGGCGGCTCTCTAATTAGGCGATTTAGGCGGCCGCCTAAGGCCTCGCGCTTGCTGGGGCCTCGCGGCCGCCTAAATCGCCTTATGGCAGACTGAACTGTCGGGTGCTCGGTCAATGACCGAGGACCCGACAGTGAGTGGGGGCCCGGCGGCTTGCCCATTATGCCGCCGGGTGGCCCCTCCACATGGTCTGCCCACACAGAGAGCCACCTGCTGATCTGCAGCTCCGCCGAGTGCAGAGCTGCAGATCACATAATGTGCTTCTCGCGAGCACACAGAGCATTGCCGCGGGTTACCATGGCAATGCTCTGACAGGCTCTCGCGAGAACAAGGTCTACATACACTGCCCCAACATTGACCTCCCACCCACACTGTCCAACACTGCCCTCCCACCCTCACTGCCCACCTACATACTGCCCCAACATTTCCCTCCCACCCTCACTGCCCCAACACTACCCTCCCACCCCCACTGCCCACCCACATACACTGCCCTGACTCCCACACTGCGCTGCCCCAACACTGCCCTCCAACCCACACTGCCCTGCTCCCCACATGCCCTGCCACCCACATACCCTGCCCCCACACTGCCCTGCCAGTCACATACACTGCCCTGCCCACCACATACACTGCACCCACATTGCCCTGCCACCACATATACTGCCCCCACACTGATGACCACCACATACACTGCCCCCCACACTGACCACCACATACACTGACCACCACATACATTGCCCCTATATACCCTTCCCCCACTCTGACCACCACATACACTGCCCCCACACTAACCACCACAGACACTGTCCCCCACACTGACCACCACATACACTGCCCCCACACTAACCATCACACTGACCACCATAGACACTGTCCCCCAGATTGACCACCACATACCCTGACCCCCACAATGACCACCACATACCCCGACCCTACATAACCTGCCCCTCACATTAACCACCACAGAACCTGCCCCCCACAGTGACCACCACATACCCTGCCCCCCACACTGTCTCCCACACACTCTGCCACCCACATGGTCACACACCTTGCCCTCCTAAACTGTCATACACACTGCCCCCTCATGCTGTCACACATCCTGCCCTCACTACACTGTGTCCCACACACCTTGCCCTCCCACACTGTAACACACTGCCCCCCACACGGTCACCATCCTCCACACTGCTACTCCACACTGTCATTTTCCTCCTCACTGTCACCCACTCACACCCTGCCCCCAAAACTGTCACATTCCTCCACACTACTCTCTCACCCTGTTACCCTTTCACACACTTGCACCCCATATTGTCAGCCCCCAACACTGTCACCAATACATACAGTCACCGCTCCCACACATTGCCCCTGCACACACTGTCACCCTTTCCAACACTGCCTCCCACACTCTCACCTACCCACGTCACAATTCCACAAACATACAGCCACCCCCCCACACTGTCACCCCCCACATGCTGTCATGCCCCCTTCACCCAGCCTTGCTCACATTAACCTAATCTTGTCGCTCTCACCAACTCCATCCATACCAGAATTACCGGCCCTCGTTCTTCTACACTCACCCTATCACATTAACTGTGTGTGACTGTCTGCCTGTAACTGTGTGTGACTGTCTTCCTGTGACTTTGTGTGAGTGTCTTCCTGTGACTGTCAGCATGTGACTGTGTGTGTGATTACCTGTATCTGTGTATGACTGTCTGTAACTGTTTGTGACTGTCTGCCTGTGGCTGTGTGACTGTCTGCCTGTGGCTGTGTGTGACTGTCTGGCTGTAAATGTGTGTGTGTGACTGTCTTCCTGTGACTATCTGTAACTGTGTGTGACTGTCTTCCTGTGACTGTGTGTGACGGTCTGTAACTTTGTGTGACTGTCAGCATGTGACTGTGTGTGTGTAATTGCCTGTAACTATGTGTCTGTCTGTAACTGTTTGTTACTGTCTGTTACCAGGGCCACCATCAGGGCATGACAACCATAACGGTTGTCATGGGCCCGGCGGTCCTGGGGGGCCCGGACTGCTCAAGTTGTCCAGGCCCCACATTCAGTGGGTACATACCGGGTTGCAGGGGGCCCTGCGACCCCGGTATTTACCCACTGGGCCAGCCTCTTCTCCTGGGGGGCCCAGCAGCCGGTCACCTCAGGGCCCCCCGAGGCTGGCCCTGCTGACACCCGGCGGGCGGGGGGGCGTCATCTTCTGGAGCCGGCATCAGTATGCGGCGTGCCAGGAAGCTGAAGAGGAAGCACACAGAGCAGAGTGCTCCCTCGTGCGCCCGCCTTGAGGCAGGGGAGGGGAGGGAGGAAGGGAGGAAATTTGAGGGAGGGGAGGGAATGGAGGAAATTTGAGAGGGGGGGAGAGGAAGAGAGG